CCCATGTGCCCACAAGGCCATGCACATCCCTCGGCAACTGTCATCCGACCAAGCGTTCGACCCGTAATCGAGTATTTTCCGACGGAAAACCTTCGATCCGAACCGACTCGATGTACGTCAAGACCCCATACTAGATCTCGACCCATCCGCATGTGTATCCCACATGATCCGGCTCAACACCCTTATGAGACCACTACATTCCCCAAGAATGGGAAAAGGTTGTGTCGATTCTAGCCGCTTAATTGGACATTGGTAGCTGAGTCTCGCACACGAGTCTTCATCGCCCCAAGAAGACTCAACTCAATCCCACATTTAGCCTAAGGACGCACCAACTCTTGGCTCAACAAATTAGCATCCCTGCTAAGATAGCTCGGGACCTCGTAGTCAATTGGCACGACATCCCTCAATACCGTGTCTCGTCGTACGTGGATGCGCTAAGGGGTCGCGAGGCCAACCGACGTCACACTTAAGGGTGTAACGACGAAGAATATAATTTGACAGAGTGTAGGAGAATGGTACTTGCCTATAGGACTAGGTTAGTTTAGGGGGTTCAATGTATTTGGCATTAAGATTCTTTCATATTTTTATATTTGATTTAAAATAATTATAATCTCTAAAGAATATCTTAATTTTAAAATTTCTTAATTATTATTCTCTTAGAAATATATATTGGGTAAAACTAATCGATTAAATAAAAACTAAAATCACTTAATAATCTTGGATTTTAAATAATTTCCATAAATTATACTATTCTTAAAACACCTCCAAATATTTATAAATATTTGTTCTGCTCAAAATTGATTTTGTAAACATAAAAAACATAGCTAATTATAACATATAATAATAATAATAATAATAATAATAATAATAATAAATTTTAATTTAAATATTTGGGGTGTTACAGTCTACTTGTCCTATTGTTTTGGTTTATTTTAAGTTTTTCTCTATCCATTTAGTTGTGTTTTTCCCATTTACATACTTTCGTGTTGTTTTGGTATATTCTATATTTTCTATTATTTTATATTTTATTTTGTAGGAAAAGTCTCTTTGAAAATTTGCTTAATGTCACTAAAAAATTATCGAAAACTGCCATCGTCACTACCATCATCGTCTGTCTTCCTCACTAATTGGGTTGCTAACTGAAGCATCAGACCCGCTTTCCAAGTCGATCGTCGTTGGTTTATGCTAAAAAAAAAATCTTGTTACACTCACGATACCAAGAGAATTCGTATCAACAAAAATACTTGGGCGTCAGTCTCTTATTTATTAAAATTAATTTTTTTTTTTATCCGCATCGCTAATATTATATATTAAATTTGATTTTTTTTTTTTTGGTTATGAACGCATCACAAAAATGCATGAACAAACTAAAATAAAAAACCAATTCACCTCATCTCCCACATGAAACTAGTACATGTGGTTAACATTATATCAAAGCCAGCATCACCACACACTCGGACGCTTGGAATCATCAGAAAACTTAGAAATTCATCGAAATAATTTATAAGCTTTTGAATTTTTTTCTCTGACTCAGGCAATAAATACTCCTTCTTGAATGCAAAACTCAGTGTTCGGTGCAGTGAACGTGCAATTTCTGGCCATAACGAAATGAACACAGGATCTCAGTGTATGTTTGCCTTCTGACGATACTTCTTGAAAAACACTTGACAACGAACATCTTCCTCACCCTCGGTTCACTCCACGCCACGGAAGCATATCGCAATCTTACTTTTGCGTGAAATCCTATCCATTATTTCACAAGCTTGCCTAGTTTTTTTGTTTTTTGTTTTTCTTTCGAGATGTGAAAGATTAATTACAGAGCATATAAAGCTTACAATTAATGAGTAATAATAATGTTGACAGATATACATCAACTCAACTAATGAATAAGTACATGCCAATTGTCTAAATTTTTTACGTGAAAAATCAGACAATCAATGTGGTATGTAATTTATGCAAATAACATACGACATTTTCGGCCGATTCTTGATGTGGATCTGCGAAAAAATGACGGATAGTCGTAAATTATGCGTCTTTCGATCAGATATGTGATCTGTGAATATGCGAACATAATACGCATAATTGTTAATTATACGGCATTATGATTTGGAAATGCGAATTGTAAACTATGCAAGAAAGTGTCGCATAATCGTAAAATATGTGACGTTAGATTTGGATATGTGATACTAAATATGCGAACTTATTTTGCATATCGTAAATTATGCGGTGATTAATTAAATTGTCCGTAATTAAATTAATCAATAGACGCTAGATCTTAATCGTGAAGAGTTAGCTTGAGCAATTAGCAGAGAATTAATTATTTGTAATTCGAGCGCTAAATGGGGAGTTCTGTAATATTATTAGAGAGCAGAGTGGGCTTGACCCATAGTCAGACCCATACTTGGGAGCCCGTTTAACACCTCCTTAGCGTCCTTATCGTAGCCTATAAATACACCAAGTCCTTAGCCTCTTATCTCGATACAAGAAATTAGAAATAAAGACGGTCACATTGGACTTCAGAATGCACTAATATATCATTTGTGGGATAAATTCATCAATTTCGAGACTTGAAAGACTATCTATCTTTTACTTGTATGATTAATTATTTTTTGTTCATCTTAATGTATTTTTATTTTTCAGATTGTCCAATGCAATTTTTAATTTTTAATGAATATTTATTTCCTAGATTTTATTGTGAATATGAATTATCACTTTATAATTAATTTTACTACATAAATTCTAAATTAAATATAAAATAATAGTATGATTAAATCTATAAAATTGTAAAATATATAGATAGTATTAAAAATTTGGAAAAATTAACGTGAAAAAGATTATGTCAAAAATATTCTTTTGAATTTGACAATTTAATAACATATGTGAAAGAAACAAAAATGATTTACCAACTGTTGCACATGTTCTCGTGCGAAGGACCACTTTTTCCTGGCAGGCCATAACATAGCATGTGGACGCCATTACAAATGGGGGCAGCTATTGTCCACCTCGTTCAGATATCATGTGAAAATCATTGTCACTATATTTCCACAGCCTTTAGAATTTGTGGATGCTGTAATTTATATATATTTTTCTATTTTTTATGTTCTAACAATTTCAAAAATTGTTGAAATTTGGCTGTTGATACAAACTTTGCTGGAGTTCGAACGTTCCACTTGACTTGAATCCCATGAACCAATTGTTGGAAACTTCAAAATTTGTAAATTATACTTAATTAAAAATAATATGATTAAAAAATGTTAAATTTAGAGGGCAACAAACTATCCCAAGTTCCCAACATTTCAACGGAGAAAGTGATGGTTTTGTCTTGAAAAAAGGGGACAAGTGTGTATACGGTATACCCTTCATGTGGTTGACTGAAATGGTGGTTATGTTTGTTTATGGAAATTTTTGGTTTTGTTTGGATTTTTTAGTTTGATTTAGTTAATTTTGAAAAAAGTGGTATGGTTAGTTGTTAGTGGGTATATTAAAATAATATTTAAAATAAAATAATTAAAATTAATTTAATGTAAAAGTAGGAGAGAGATGATTGAAGTGATAGTTAGTTAAAATAATGTGAGTTGATGAATAGTGAATTAAGGTTGATGTGGTGTGTATGAATGATTAATTGATATTTTTTAATTATATTAATAATATTGATAATAGTGGGTTTGAGTTAAATTAAAAAAAATGGTTAAGTTAAAATATTAAAAAAAAATTTAAAATTTTTTCATAAACAAACATGCTCTTGAAGATCAAAGAAAAGGAGGACATGGAATGTGAATTCGTTAAATGGAAGGTAATAAACTATTATCATGTGATTGACTGAAATGGTTGAAGATTAAAGAAAAGGAGGACATGAAATGTGAATTCATTAAATGGAAGGTAATAAACTAATAATATGCAATGTGCATGTTCTAATTATGTAGTCTTGTCATAAGAAACATGGACACATTGAGTTGTCAGGTTTATCAACACAAATAACAGCGAGGAATCACATCAAGGGTTTGTTCAAAGTTAAGTGCTGTGTAAATCAACTTTATTTTTTTTTTTTCCTCTTCAGCAAATATATATATAAAGAAAAAGTAAAGGAAATGGGAGAAACAAATAGAAAAAGAGTGTGTGTATTTATTTAGGGATTGTATTTACCAATTTATCCCAAAAAAATTTAATTTCAACTCAAAATCTAACTCAATCTTGATCCAACTCCACTATTTTTAATATTATCAATATAATTAAATAATATCAATCAATTATTTTTACATATCACATCAATTTTAATTCACTCACATAATTTTAATTAAATATCACTTCTAATCATCTATCTCTTATTTTTGCATCAAATCAATTTTGATCTAAACTTTAAATCTCACCCAACAACATACCACAATTAACTATCGTTAGGAAAAAAAACAATCAAGTATCAATATATTTATAAACAAGCACACTCTTAGTTTGCAGGGTTTATCTGTTTCACAAACATAACTTTCGAGTAATTTTCAACAAATCTTGTTCTGGTGGGCACTAGTCTAATACCATTAATCAGCTTATGATTTTTTTACAAGTGTAAGTACTTTATTAAAATATATTATATTAAAAAAAAAAAATCAACATACCCAAAAATATAACATTTGAAAGTATGACGTGCCAACTTGTCTAACATTTTGACATTTTGATTATCTTACACGAAAAATTGTGTTAACCAATATATTTTTCAAACGCATGAGCCTTTCCATTAAAACCTCTTGTACACAAATTGATTAATATCAATGCAACATTACAACAAACAATAAATTAAAATATTACAATAATTTGCAGAACCATTTTTCCCATCTAAAACAAATACAGCAATAAAAAAGGAAAAAAAAAAAAGCAAAATTTAAAGGAAAGCATCTAACTATAATATTAATACTAATACACCTCTGTCTGTTGGGATGAAAACCAAAGAGAGATCTTGATTAGATGAGCAGCATACAATGTTCCAATGAGAAGAAGTAGTATTTAACTCATACNGTATTTGGATTTTGTTGGGGCTTTTGGGATCCGTAGAAGTCAATCAGTTTCTGCAAAATAAAAACCTGAGTTTTGAGACGAACAATGTAGTCGGCCGTCTCCTGGAAAAGCAGCGCCGTGTTTATTTCAGAATTCTCAGAAGGAAGGAGGCTTTTCAGGGCCTCTAGCTTGTCTGTGATACACACGCCACCGCCAATCTTGGGGCAGCCGGATTTTCGGAGGCGTCGGTTTGTGCGAGACGAAATTCTTCTTGGTTTGGCCGTATCTTTGGAGATCCTTTTCCTGGAATCCATCTGACGGCGGAGGGGTTGAGTTACAGAGACGGATGAAGTTGAAATGGTGTTACGGAGATTGGAGATTGGAGGGGTATATAACTTAAAAGGAGAATTTCACAGTTGTAAAACTGCCACCTAATTAATATATTCACGAAATTACGTGAATGCCCCTGGGATCATGAAATTTTTTTTGGATGGATAAATTTTTATTCATATTTTTTTTTGTTTAAATCAGTACCTATCTAAAATCCTAATAATTGTGGGAGGGCATAATAATTAATAACCAACATTCGTCAATATTTTTGTTATAATTCATAATTGTGAAATGCACAATAATAATATGTGGTTTTCTACCATTTCAACGTTATACTACATTTTTTTTTTTCTAATTAACTCCTCAACGCAAAAAAAAATATATAAATTTCAATAAATGTCACATCAACCCCTTTTTTTTTTCCAACGACATAACATCTCGAATTAAGAAAAAACCGCCATAAGGCAAAGTACACGGGATATCCCGGATCCTAGGTCACTGAGAGGTTACAACACAAATCATGTAACCTAGCCATCAAATACATAATTCATACCATAGACATAAATCCCACTAGCATATCCATACATCAGACTAACTTGAAAACAAAACAGATCGACAAATACACACACTAGACGCAAAAAAGAAGTACACCACTGACACGAGACCTAGAATACTCCTTCATGCTGCGTGCTATTTGCTCTGTTACTTGTCTTTAAAAGCCATCCAATCCTGCAGTGCCATTCTAGCTATCCACTCCTCTGTTTGCCATATCTTTTCGAAAGCCACCATAAAATGTAGGTGGATAGTTGAATTCGATCCTCCGAGGTTTCCTTCGAATCAATCGAGCTCAGCCACCACCACCATTCCTTAAAAGACCATTGTTCTTCTTGAAATCTGTCCCATTGCACTAGAGACTGCTTCCAGGTTTTCTGAGCTTTAGGACAAGAGAAAAGTGCATGCTCTATAGTTTCATCCTGCTCCCCGCATAGGCAACACACAGTCTCAATCTGCAACCCCCTCTTCAATAAATTGCAGCTAACTGGAAGGATATTAGAAAAGCACCTCCACACAAAATGTCTGACTTTCCCCATTACCTGTAAATTCCAGCATCTCAACCGTGCTCGTCTGTTTCCCTCAGCCATTTTACTACTCTCAGCCACTGCCATTCTGCAAGTTTTCTCCTCCATCAGCATAGAGTATGCTTTTTTCACCAAGAAGGTCCCTTTATCCACAAATGTACATATTTTCATATCCTCAGCTCTTGGATTTAAAGTATCAATTGCCAAAATTTTCTCAGCTGCCTCTTCACAGTACATAATTCTGATAAGAGTTTCATCCCACTCCCTCCCTCTACTTTTAAGAAGATCTCTGACCCTGGAAAGATTCTCATCAATATGCACTTTCAGAATAGGCTTTTTTCCTCCCATGCCAGGAATCCAGTTGAAATCATTAATCTGAGTGGTATTCCCATTTTTTATCACAGTTTTCACATATTGCTGCATAATAGGAATTAGAGATGCCCAAGAGTTCCACAGCCAAGGTCCACCACTAGACTTCTGATATTCAAACAAAGATGTTAAGGGAAAATACCTGTGCTTAAGAACTTTGCTCACCAGCAGCTCTGGGTTATCCACCATTCTCCACAGTTGTTTCATGATGAGAGCTTTGTTGAAAAGTTTTATATCATGGAAGCCAATGCCACCATCCTGTTTAGCTCTAGTCATCTTGTCCCAAGCCATCCAATAAAGGCCCTGTTGATTTCCTTCTTTCATTCTCCACCAGAACTCTGCCATCATTCTGCTCACTTCTTTACAAATGGCCACTGGAAGTACAAAACATGACATCACAAATACAGGCAGTGCACTAAGTATTGTTTTTATCAGCACCTCTTTACCAGATGTTGAGAGAAACTGTGATTTCCAGCTTTGAATTCTAGACTTTACCACCTCAATCACAAATTTGAAAGCCTCTTTCTTTGATGCCCCTATTCCAAGTGGAAGGCCTCTTTCTTTGATGCCACTACCAATTTTTCTAATTTTTTTGATTATTTTCCGTTATCTCTTCTCCGAGATCGTTGTCCATCAAGACGAACAGAGAAGGTTTCGGATAATAAAACAAAAGATCTGAGGTAAATCGAGGTTGAATATCACAATATATATATATATATATATATATATCTCCGTAAATATCCAAGAGCCGACAGAGATCGACCCACGACAATCGACGACTTCCAACGGAGATTCGATCAAGATCCGGGAGTGATCAACCATAGCAGACGAGTAGTCGGTAGCCGACGAGATGCTGTCACTCAAAGGCGCTAGTCGCAGCCCCTTGCCAGGCACAGCCCACCACAGGCAGGTCGCAGGTGCCCAGAGATTCTCGCGCACAGGCGCAGCCATGCGCGGGCAACGGGGGCGGCACACAAGTGCATCGCGTGCAGGCGGGCGCGCGAGTTTCTCGCAGGCGCCATAGCCCGCGCGCGAGAATCTCGCGCAGCACGCGACTTCTCGGCAAGGCTCACAGGTGAGCTAGATGCGCAACGTGCGCGACTTTATCTGGCGACAGGCTGGCGTCGCGTATTTTTTTTTTTTTTTTNNNACGCGTCCCCAGCGACTTCGTCGTTCAGTGCAATGTGTGTTATTGGTATATACTGAAAACTTGGTTTTGCATATTATTACACATTTGCCCTTTATGAATGAGAATCATGTTAGGTTAAACAAGTTCTACGTTCTGTTGTTCTGCACTTAGAAAGAGTGGGTCGTCATCGGGCGAACCGAAGATCACTCTATCAGTTACTTGCGAACAAGAATAGTTGTTCACAACCTAGATGGACATGAACACCCCATCCGAACAGTTGTAGTGTCAACTGTACAGTTTGTCTTGACTGATTAGTTGCACTAGTACATTTATGTATTGAATAAGATCCCAGAGAAGAGAAGTTCATTTTATACTGATCGTCGTAAATGAACTAGGTCTCAGTTAATTACTGCGTTCTCTTAACCCGTAAGATATTAAACAGGCAGATATATATAGTATATATTACTTTGATTCACTTGGGTGAGGTTCAGTTCGCTGGATCAAAATTCTTACTGTTTTGGGTAATATTGCTATATATAGGATGTGCTGTTAGGATACTTACGGTCACCATGTGCGTTAGTAGTATGATGTCCCCGGAGTGAATTCATGAAGGATTGTTATGCTAAACCCTGCAGGTGGATTAATTTCCGGCATAATAAGAATGTGATGAACGAGCGCTAGCTTCGGTGAAATAATAATAAATTAATTAATTCTTGATTGTCAGTAATCGAATTAATTAATGGACATTATATTTTAAACATGGAGAAGTAAATCGAAATTTTTATTGGAGTCTCAAATGTAATTTGGGCTAAAAAAAAGGAGTGCAATAATATAATGTTGGTAGCCCGTTAATATTATTCAATTAATTAGAGAAGTGGGCTTGACCCACAGTTAGTCTAATTAATTAAAGAGCCCTATTCTTAATCTCCTAAGGGTCCCTACTGTAGCTATATATATATATATATATATATATATATATATAAATAATTATATCATTATGCTCATGAGAAGATAACACACATCTCATAATTTTGAGACACGCCCCACGCCTCTATCTCTCTCTCAGTTCCCATTCGAACTTTTTCTTCTTCTTGTTGCTCCACTGGTACAAGTTGAAGAGGTGTTTGAGTAATACAGTAGAAGATCCATAGGTAATCGAGACTCGGTGATCATCTACTTGCAGTTGACGAATCACGACCCGAAGAACGCGACCCGTCAACCGACCCGATAGCCGACCGCCGTGAGCCAGCCGGAACGCCGCCGTGACCAACTGACCACCACCGGCGATCAGAAGCCGCGACACGCGCGAACCGGCGAGACCCGCGACACGAGCCGACGTACGCGACCCGTCCGATCCACACGACCCGACATTGTTGATCTGTTCGTGTGATCCAGTTCCGTTCGTGTGCTATGTACGGCCATCCAGAAGATCAGTCAGATCGCCAAAAAATTTTAAGCTGTAAGTTCTCTACGTCAAACCTTTAGATTCGATGCGCATAGGTTTACGTTTGCTATTGAATTCGTGATTTGTACATAATGAGATCCTCACAGATCCCAACAAGTAGTATCAGAGCACTTGGTTAATTCGTTTTGTACAAAGTTCGAATTTTTACGGCTTTATTTGACAAGATGTGTTCAATTGCAGCCATATATTGGATTATATTTGCATAATTCGGTTTTGCAGGAAAATAGTAAATCCACTATTATGGCCGATTATGTGTTTGATGAATGTTGTTGAATGTGATGTATGATTTTAAATTTGCTTTTATAGCCTCGGACATGTCAAAGAATTGATGGATGAATGTTTGTAATATTATTCGCCCGGGGGTTGACTGGATAGATTTAATTATTTCTTTAGAAAACATATGCATCCATTCGTTGGATCTAGGATCGAATTATGTAATTTTGTAAATTAAATTTTTCGTGTTGTGATTGTGGATTGATGATCGGGAGATCACAAGAGATCAACGAGCCTCGGAAAAAGACCGGCGCGAGTTTTTCCGACCACCGGCGGCGGCGGCCAGGCGGCGGTGGGTCGTGGCTGAGGTGGAGAGGTTTACTTGATGTAAAAACAGTACAATATCAACCAGGATTCCAGTGCTAAAGAAGTTACAGTTGAACAGGGAAAGAACTGTCATAGTTTTCTTGTTTAAGGAAACTCAATATTTAATGGCCATAACAGTGGACTTATTTATTTATTTAAATTCATTATGCCATTAATTATTATTTATGCATGCTAATTAATTATATTATTGTATGGATTAATTAAGTATTGCATGAATAATTATGCATGTTAATTAATTATGTAATGCATAAGATTAATTTAGAATTCTATCAATAAATTATGCATGAAATTAATTAGTGCACTGGCATAATTAATTTAGAATTGCATAGATTATTGTACATG